CCGAGCGTTAATAACGCCCCACAAATGCCTATAATGCAGTTGGTGTTACCGCTGCAAAGCTCAAACCCGCAACCGCACCGCAAACGCCGGCCCGGCCGTTTGCGGAGCGGCACCAAGACGAGAATAGGAGGCTTCAAAAGCCTCTTGACTCGACCAGAGGCAACCGCAAACGCTCCTGTTAGAACAGCAGCATGTGCTGTAATGTGCAGAATTGGCAGAGGCGTTTGGGAAAGCGGGGTAAAACCACTTTAAAAACGCTCCCAAACGCCTCTCTGCCGCCTGCACTCAAGGCTAGTGTGAACGTAGCCTAAGTGTCATTTCTGTCTGCTGCTTCCTTCCTCTGCTATCAGCATGAATCACTTCTGACAAGTTTTCCTGACACCAAGAGATACAAGGTGGCAGAGGAGGGTCCTCCAGCACACAGCCTGTGAATGACAACCTCAGCTCTCAGAACTCTCCTCACTGAGCTCCGCAGTGTGTAATTTCAGCTCTCTGCTCACTGTTTTCTGAAAGCTCAGACAAACTTTAGAAATTCCTAACTTGGGCTGTAGAGAAGAGAAGGCTCAGATAAATAGGTACAACTTATGTAGGAGGATTTGTTTAATCTCTGCATATCACCTGAGGCAAATCACTTCAATGGATATGTGTGAGGGTTTACAACCACTTTGACACTAACCATCCATTTAACCCTAGCACTTCCTGCAATCTTAAAGAGGAACTACACTGCCTCTGCCTCCCCCCCCCCCCCCCCCATCCCCTTTAACTGATTTCCAAGTTTTACTGACACCAAAAGGAAAGTGGTGACAGGGAATGGCTCTACAGCACACAGCCTGTGATTGAAAGCCTCAGCTCTGTTCCTTTGTGATGTGTGCCTGTGCAAACGCTGCACTTGGAAAGGATGTAGGGGACAAATGCCATGGATAAACAGGTACAACTTATGTAGGAGGATTTGTTTCTTCTCTTTGTATTACCTGAGGCCAGTCACTTCACTTGATATATGTAAGGGTTTAAAGCCACTTTAAAGGAGTAAATCATACAACATCCTAGCAAGGCAGGACAGGATGATAGGCATTATCCAACTTTAGTCAAACCTACAGGAGCACCTTACCTGCATAGGCAGTATATATATATATATATGTGTGTGTGTGTGTGTGTGTGTGTGTGTGTGTGTGTGTGTGTGTGTGTGTGTATATATATATATATGTGTGTGTGTGTGTGTGTGTGTGTGTGTGTGTGTGTGTGTGTGTGTATATATATATATATATATATGTGTGTGTGTATGTATGTATGTATATATATATATATAATGTGTGTGTGTGTAATGTATATATAATTTTTAATATAGATTTTCCTTTAAGCTAGGTTCTCACTGCTGCACACTTCCGGTTCCTACCAGATGCAGTCCAGTGTGTGTTTTTTTTTTTTTTTCCCACATGGACAATAGATTATATGAGTTTCAATGGCCTAGTTCACACCAGTGCAGTCAGTTCCAGTTCATTCCAGTGCAGAAAAAAAAGTAGAACATGCTGCATTTGTTCTGCACAGAACTGTACTGAAACGCAGCAAAAATGCACCAAAAGACATCAAGGTAATAAAACATACTGGAACGCATGTAAATTGCAAAAAAAGACTCAAACACCAATGCAGAAAGTAATTTGGAGTGAGTTTTTGTAGTGTGAATTGTAAGTAACAATGCACCTGGAATGTGTTTTTGTGGTGTGAACTGACCTTGCAAACGTTTTTGAATTTAGAATTTCAAGTGGATAGCATTACCAGCCATTGACCAAGGCTTTTTTAAAGCAGGACTCCATGGATTTTTTTTCCTCCCATGCAGTGGGGCTGTACCCGCACCAGTGGCATTGCTATAGGGGTGGGGGGGGGGGGGTAACACCCAGGTGATGCCCGCCAAAGTGGTGACACCAGGGATTTTTCTCAGAATGTGCCAGAACCCGCCGCTCATTGCTGTCACTTCCACACACACAAGCCATGCTTCTGCAGGTGACAGTGCTCCTCTCCTGGTTCTGCTGCGCACAGCCCTCCCTGCCATGCAGGATCCCTTTGAGAGCAGAGGAGGGACGGGTGGGGATGTGCACGGCCTCTCTACTATCCTGGCGGCAGGTCCTCCTGAAGCCCACACACTGCTCAGTCTCCACACTCTGTAAGTTGTACAGTAGCTGCTCTTCGACAGCAGCCTCTCTTCTCTTGTGGCCAGTCAAGCATTCAGAACCTAACTTTTCACCCTGTACATAGCGAACTCTTCAGCCTTGTACCCTGTAGGTAGCTCACCCCTAAAATCCTGCAATCTGTACGTAGCTCACCCCTAAATCCTGCAATCTGTACGTAGCTCACCCCTAAATCCTGCAATCTGTACGTAGCTCACCCCTAACTCCTGCAATCTGTACATAGCGCACCCCTAAATCCTGCAATCTGTACATAGCTTTTCCCTGATTCCTGCAATCTGTATGTAGCTCACCCCTGAGCCCTGCAATCCGTATGTAACTCACCCCTGACTCCTGCAATCTGTACGTACCACATGCCTGACTCTTGCAATCTGTACGTATCGCACGCCTAACTCCTGCAATCTGTACATAGCGCACCCCTGAGTCCTGCAATCTGTACGTACCGCACTCCTAACTCCTGCAATCTGTACATAGCTTTTCCCTGATTCCTGCAATCTGTATGTAGCTCACCCCTGAGCCCTGCAATCCGTATGTAACTCACCCCTGACTCCTGCAATCTGTACGTACCACATGCCTGACTCTTGCAATCTGTACGTACCGCACGCCTAACTCCTGCAATCTGTATATAGCGCACCCCTGAGTCCTGCAATCTGTACGTACCGCACTTCTAACACCTGCAATCTGCACAAAGCGCACCCCTGAGCCCTGCAATCTGTACATAGCGCACCCCTGAGCCCTGCAATCTGTACATAGCGCACCCCTGAGCCCTGCAATCTGTACATAGCGCACCCCTGAGCCCTGCAATCTGTACATAGCGCACCCCTGAGCCCTGCAATCTGTACATAGCGCACCCCTGAGCCCTGCAATCTGTACGTAGCGCACCCCTGAGCCCTGCAATCTGTACGTAGCGCACCCCTGAGCCCTGCAATCTGTACGTAGCGCACCCCTGAGCCCTGCAATCTGTACGTAGCGCACCCCTGAGCCCTGCAATCTGTACGTAGCGCACCCCTGAGCCCTGCAATCTGTACGTAGCGCACCCCTGAGCCCTGCAATCTGTACGTAGCGCACCCCTGAGCCCTGCAATCTGTACGTAGCGCACCCCTGAGCCCTGCAATCTGTACGTAGCGCACCCCTGAGCCCTGCAATCTGTACGTAGCGCACCCCTGAGCCCTGCAATCTGTACGTAGCGCACCCCTGAGCCCTGCAATCTGTACGTAGCGCACCCCTGAGCCCTGCAATCTGTACGTAGCGCACCCCTGAGCCCTGCAATCTGTACGTAGCGCACCCCTGAGCCCTGCAATCTGTACGTAGCGCACCCCTGAGCCCTGCAATCTGTACGTAGCGCACCCCTGAGCCCTGCAATCTGTACGTAGCGCACCCCTGAGCCCTGCAATCTGTACGTAGCGCACCCCTGAGCCCTGCAATCTGTACGTAGCGCACCCCTGAGCCCTGCAATCTGTACGTAGCGCACCCCTGAGCCCTGCAATCTGTACGTAGCGCACCCCTGAGCCCTGCAATCTGTACGTAGCGCACCCCTGAGCCCTGCAATCTGTACGTAGCGCACCCCCCTGAGCCCTGCAATCTGTACGTAGCGCACCCCTGAGCCCTGCAATCTGTACGTAGCGCACCCCTGAGCCCTGCAATCTGTACGTAGCGCACCCCTGAGCCCTGCAATCTGTACGTAGCGCACCCCTGAGCCCTGCAATCTGTACGTAGCGCACCCCTGAGCCCTGCAATCTGTACGTAGCGCACACCCCCTGAGCCCTGCAATCTGTACGTAGCGCACCCCTGAGCCCTGCAATCTGTACGTAGCGCACCCCTGAGCCCTGCAATCTGTACGTAGCGCACCCCTGAGCCCTGCAATCTGTACGTAGCGCACCCCTGAGCCCTGCAATCTGTACGTAGCGCACCCCTGAGCCCTGCAATCTGTACGTAGCGCACCCCTGAGCCCTGCAATCTGTACGTAGCGCACCCCTGAGCCCTGCAATCTGTACGTAGCGCACCCCTGAGCCCTGCAATCTGTACGTAGCGCACCCCTGAGCCCTGCAATCTGTACGTAGCGCACCACCCTGAGCCACTGCAATCTGTACGTAGCGCACCCCTGAGCCCTGCAATCTGTACGTAGCGCACCCCTGAGCCCTGCAATCTGTACGTAGCGCACCCCTGAGCCCTGCAATCTGTACGTAGAGCGCACCCCACCCCTGAGCCCTGCAATCTGTACGTAGCGCACCCCTGAGCCCTGCAATCTGTACGTAGCGCACCCCTGAGCCCTGCAATCTGTACGTAGCGCACCCCTGAGCCCTGCAATCTGTACGTAGCGCACCCCTGAGCCCTGCAATCTGTACGTAGCGCACCCCTGAGCCCTGCAATCTGTACGTAGCGCACCCCTGAGCCCTGCAATCTGTACGTAGCGCACCCCTGAGCCCTGCAATCTGTACGTAGCGCACCCCTGAGCCCTGCAATCTGTACGTAGCGCACCCCTGAGCCCTGCAATCTGTACGTAGCGCACCCCTGAGCCCTGCAATCTGTACGTAGCGCACCCCTGAGCCCTGCAATCTGTACGTAGCGCACCCCTGAGCCCTGCAATCTGTACGTAGCGCACCCCTGAGTCCTGCAATCTGTACGTAGCGCACCCCTGAGTCCTGCAATCTGTATGTAGCACACCCCTGAGTCCTGCAATCTGTATGTAGCACACCCCTGAGTCCTGCAATCTGTATGTAGCACACCCCTGAGTCCTGCAATCTGTATGTAGCACACCCCTGAGTCCTGCAATCTGTATGTAGCACACCCCTGAGTCCTGCAATCTGTATGTAGCACACCCCTGAGTCCTGCAATCTGTATGTAGCACACCCCTGAGTCCTGCAATCTGTATGTAGCACACCCCTGAGTCCTGCAATCTGTATGTAGCACACCCCTGAGTCCTGCAATCTGTATGTAGCACACCCCTGAGTCCTGCAATCTGTATGTAGCACACCCCTGAGTCCTGCAATCTGTATGTAGCACACCCCTGAGTCCTGCAATCTGTATGTAGCACACCCCTGAGTCCTGCAATCTGTACGTAGCTCACCCCTGAGTCCTGCATCCTGTTTGTATCGAAACTCCTGAACCCTGTACATAGTGCACTCTTGAGTTCTGCACCCTGCATTCACTATATCTGGTCTCCCGGGACCCTGAATTCACTGTATCTGGTCTCCCGGGACCCTGCATTCACTGTATCTGGTCTCCCGGGACCCTGCATTCACTGTATCTGATCTCCCGGGACCCTGCATTCACTGTATCTGATCTCCCGGGACCCTGCATTCACTGTATCTGATCTCCCGGGACCCTGCATTCACTGTATCTGGTCTCCCAGGACCCCGCATTCACTGTATCTGGTCTCCCAGGACCCTGCATTCACTATATCTGGTCTCCCTCAAACACAAAACATGGAAATGCAATTATTTTAGTAAATATAAAACTGCTAAATAACTTTTCTCATCAGCAGATAGAGCAATCTTGTGACTTCATCTGTGTCTAGCTGAGCACTGGTTAAAGCTTGTAGGAGGAGTTTTCATTCTTCTCCAGGAGGATGCATGGCCCCTGATCTCTGTCTGGACAGTGCTGATTGGCCCTGTGCTGATCACATGCACTCTACCAAGAAAAAAAAAATTAGAGGGGGACACTGGAAGAAGGGTAAGATCAGAGAAGTCAGGATCCAAAAAGCCTTTTTACACAATGCAGAGGATTAACCCCTTAGGTTCCACAGTGAGAATAACAAGCATGCTTTACTGCATCTACAGACTGATTGTACTGTTGTGGGTTTAGTAACACTTTAACACATGCACAGCCCCACTGCATAGAGTAAGAAAAATGTTAGCAACAAGTATTAAAGAAGAATTCCGGGCAAACACATTATGAGCCTCCCAACACAGAAAAAAATGTTCAAATCTTATTTTAGGGGGAACCATGGCACATGCATTTTAGTGCATTCAAACATGTTCTTTAAACAGTGTAATGGGCCCTCCGACTACGTAACCCATGTGGTAAAATTCAGCATTTTCCTGCATAGGCTAGTGACAAGGAGTAGTGCTATGCATGTTTCAGCGCATCACATATGGAAGAAAAATATATTTGAAATAGAACAATTTTTTGGTCGTATTCAATATATTTCAATAAATATATATAAATATACTGTACGTTGAAATGCGTTTTATTACACATTATGTGAAAAATATTTTTAAAAATACATTTCAAATATACTGTATGTCTTTAAAAAAATTAAATTTTTTGAATATATGTAAAAAATATATGTTAAAATGACTTTTTTATATGTTTTCCATTGTCATCTGACCGCCCATTGAGGAGAGCAAGCAGCTCTGTTTCTTCTCTGCAGCAGCGGAACGGACACAGAGCCGTCATCTGCTTGCACCTGCTGAGCAATCGGATCTGCTAAACGGGTCCGTCCCGTGTGAAAGGACCCTAAGACATTCAGTGACAGCAACACTTTTATTTTTTCCTGTCATGATGGGGTTAAAAAAAAATCCCTTTCTAATACAAAAACAGCAAACAATCACTACTATAAGGGGTTTCTTTTTATTGTGAAACAGTGAAATTATATATTATATAGGATGCCTGCCTTTACACCAGTGTTTCTCAACTCCAGTCCTCATGGACCCCCAAAAGGTCATGTTTTCAGGATTTCCCTCAGATGAAACAGCTGTGGTAATTACTAAGGCAGTGAAACTGATCAAATCACCTGTGCAAAATAATGGAAATCCTGAAAACATGACCTGTTGGGGGTCCATGAGGACTGGAGTTGAGAAACACTGCTTTACACGTACATGAACTTTAATACCATCCCAGTCTTAGTCCGTAGGGTTCAATATTGAGTTGGCCCCGCCCTTTGCAGCTATAGCAGCTTCAACTCTTCTGGGAAGGCCGTCCACAAGGTTTAGGAGGGTGTCTATGGGAAGGTTTGACCATTCTTCCAGAAGCACATTTGTGAGGTCAGGCACTGATGTCGGGGGAGGAGGCCTGGCTCGCAGTCTCTGCTCTAATTCATCCCAAAGGTGTTCTATGGGGTTGAGGTCAGAACTCTGTGCAGGCCAGTCAAGTTCCTCCACCGCAAACTCACTCATCCATGTCTTTATGGATCTTGCTTTGTGTACTGGTGCGCAGTCATGTTGGAACAGGAAGGGGCCATCCCCAAACTGTTCCCACAAAGTTGGGAGCATGAAAGTGTCCAAAACGTCTTGGTATGCTGATGCCTTAAGAGTTCCCTTCATTAGAACTAGGGGGCCAAGTCCAACCCCTGAAAAAACAACCCCACACCATAATCCCCCCTCCACCAAACTTTACACTTGGCACAATACAGTCAGGCAAGTACCGTTCTCCTGGCAACTGCCAAACTCAGACATGTCCATTGGATTTCCAGACAGAGAAGCGTGATTGGTCCCTCCAGAGAACACGTCTCCATTGCTCACTGCATCTGACGCTTTGCATTGCACTTGGTGATGTAAGGCTTGGATGCAGCTGCTCGGCCATGGAAAAGCACTCCATGAAGCTCTCTATGCACTGTTGTTGTGCTAATCTGAAGGCCACATGAATTTGGAGGTCTTTAGCTATTGACTCTGCAGACAGTTGGTGACTTCTGTGCACTTCAGCTTCAGCGCACTGACCCACTCTGTCATTTTACGTGACTACCACTTGGTGGCTGAGTTGCTGTTGTTCCCAGTTGCTTCCACTTTGTTATAATCCCACTAACAGTTGACCGTGGAATATTTAGTAGCCAGGAAATGTCACGGATGGACTTATTGCACAGGTGACAACCTATCACGGGACCACGCTTGGAAGTCACTGAGCTCCTGAGAGCGACCCATTCTTTCACCAAATGTTTGTAGAAGCAGTCTGCATGCCTAGGGGATGATTTTATACACCTGTGGCCATGGAGGTGATTGGAACACCTGAATCACATGATTTGGAGTGCGGGCCCAATATTTTTGCCAATATAGTGTATATATGAATATTAACAATAATATTAAATAAAACCAGAAGTTGGATATACAGGGTATTTTAACTGGGAGTCAGACACGAAGGGTGGAGGGGGAATATAAATCTTTTTATTAAAGTGGTACTAAAGGCTGAGGCTTTTTACTATGCGACCACATGTATACAATGTCAACAAAGCTGCTATGAATTAATCTGATTCCTAACAGCTCTGCATCCCTTCCTAGTGAGCTGTTACCCACAGCTCTCACATGGTACATGGGCAGATCACAGCACCCTGTACCATGTGATTAGTTGTAGCCAATCACAGACCACTGTATTTTTGAACTGTCATGAACTTAACCCATTTATGAAAATTCAAAGCAAGCATGGCACTGCAGGTACCTGCAATGCAAAGTATAAAAAAAAAATGAAAAAAAAAAATTACCCCCACCAAACACACACACACACACACACACACAAAATAAAATATTGAGAGTGCCCTTGCGTCTCTTTCTATTAAGGGCAGAGGGGAGATTTAGAGTCTAAAAGATCCCAGATTTCTCAGAAAAGAGTATCTGTCACTATTGCTATCACAGGGGATATTTACATTCCCTCTGATAACAATAAAAGTGATAGAAAAAAAAAAAAAAAGACAGTGTAAAAATTAGAAAAAGCAAAATAAATAATGTAAAAAAAATTGCAACAAAAAATAAAATCTTCCATGGACCCAACATGCCTCTCAGCAAATTCGCTGGTGTGTCTACTTTTCAAAAAGGGGTCATCTGGGGGTGGGGGGGATTTGAACTGTCCTAGCAATTGAGCACCTCAAGAAATGTGATAGGCAGTCAGAAAGTAAAAGCTGTGTAAATTCCAATATGTACACCATACTTTGTAAATGCTATAACTTTAACACAAACCAATTAATATACACGTATTGGGATTTTTTTTTTACCAAAGACATGTAGCAGAATAAATTTTGACCTAGATTTATGACTAAATTTGAGGATATTTTGTATAACAGAAAGTAGAGCATCTTTATTGGAGGGCAAGTGAAACATCAGGGATCTTGATGTCTAATAAAGTGGACCTGTCACCAAAAATATTCATCACATAGGGGACCTTTTGTCCCTTAGTTAATGAAACAAGTTTAGCAATTATCAGTTAAAGCAGCGCAGTGCTGAATAGCAGCAAACGGCCTGGTCATGAAGGGGTAAACCCTTCTGGAGCTTAACTTAAATAAATGTTTCATTGTAGCACACTTGGTATCTCTCGCTTTTATCAGAATTCCTACTGTAAATTCACCTTTCATATTCAACTGTATTCACCTTATTTTTCTCTGGGTAGCAGTCAATGGAGTGCTCCAGAAATGTCACGCAGGGTAGTAGAAAAGGGCCGCGACATTGTCATGTTCTGCAGGCCGTCACTTGTAACTTGTCATGCCGTTGTACAATCCACTCTGACCCATCTTATACCATGCAGTGTACAAGTCTATGCATCTACAGTAACCCCTGATGTTCTTCTTTGTGTTGCCATGGTGACTGTGATGTCTGCGATATTGTCCGTCTGAGCGTTTCTACAATCAATGGAATGATCCTTGTAGAGGTTTTCATCTGCAAATTTAAGAAAACATGGATTCCTGGACAGCACCAGTTCAAATTTACAGTATTACCTACCATACTTATGGCTCGGTCACATGTGCAGCCACCCTTGCTGTTTCTTTAGTGCAGGGGTGTCAAACTCAATTTCATCGCGGGCCACATCGCGATTACGGTTGCCTCCAAAGGGTCGTTTGTATCTGTAAGACCAGACCCTCCATTACATCACATGTCAAGAGTGCCCCGCCCTCCCTTACATCATAGTGCAGGCCCCTTACTTTGTCCTGCTGCTGGGAAGAAGCTGGTAAGGAGAAAGTCCAGGGTCTGGAGGAGGACCAGAGGAGGTCTGGAGTCAGCTGCTAGAGACTGCTGAATGCAACATGGGGTGCTGAGGCTGCACAGAGAAACACAGGATTTAACGTGGGAAGTTCTGTCCTCCTCTCTACTTCAGAATGCTGAGACAAGGTGAGGCACAGACGAGGGGGGTGCCATAGGTGCAGGAGAGGTGCAAGGGCCAAATGTAATGGTCTGGTAGGCCTGATTCGGCCCGTAGGCCATTGTGTTTGACACATGTGCTCTAGTGGATTGCTTTTCAAAGGGCAGTTGACAGAAAGCTGAGAGGTGATATGTCACCTCCTTGTTGCCTGTTTGAACCTTGAAAAACCCTGTACCACAGTGCGGCAACCATGTGCATTACCTGTGGTTGAAGGGCAGTTGCCTTGAGACAGAGATGCCGGGCTAGTGCTATCAATAGCAGGGACAGGTCACCAATAGAAGGCAGGGGACCCCTATGGTTTCAGAATGCCAGGTCACAAGTGCGACCTTTGCAACCATGGTAGTTCTGCCATTGCATTGAACCCTTATATGGAGTTTCCTGGTCTTCTGGTGACATATCTCTTGCTTTCTACCACTGTGGGGGTGGGCCCAAGAATATAGAAAGGGGACCCACTGCAGAACATGTGAAAGAGTCCCACCGTGGGGCTGTAATAAGGAGCCCCGCAACAGGAGTAAAGGGCCCCTGGATCAGTGGGGAGAGCAGCGGTACCAAAGGAGAGGGCCCCGGGACCGATGGAAAGAGGGTCATGGGGGCCCTTTAAGGTTTCTTGCAATGGGGCCCTGATAGTTCTAGTTACACCTCTGGGTCAAGACCTACCAAAAGTGGTCCAAGGAAGGAAAACCAGTGAAGCGGTGACAGGGTCATGGATGACCAAGACTCATGGATGTACAAGGGGAGCGAAGGCTGGCCTGTGTAGTCCAATCCAATAGAAGAGCTACTGTAGATCAAATTGCTGAAAAAGTTCATGCTGGTTCTGATTGAAAGATGTCGGAACACACAGAGCATCGAAGTTTGTTGTATATAGAGCTGCATTGCGGCAGACCGATCAGGGTCAGCATCGCAGTTTGTTGTGTATAGAGCTGCATTGCGGCAGACCGGTCAGGCTCAGCATCGAAGTCTGTTGTGTATAGAGCTGCACTGCGGAAGACCGGTCAGGGTCAGCATCGAAGTTTGTTGTCTATAGAGCTGCACTGCGGCAGGCCGGTCAGGGTCAGCATCGAAGTCTGTTGTGTATAGAGCTGCATTGCGGCAGGCCGGTCAGGGTCAGCATCGAAGTCTGTTGTATATAGAGCTGCATTGCGGCAGGCCGGTCAGGGTCAGCATCGAAGTCTGTTGTGTATATAGAGCTGCATTGCGGCAGACCGGTCAGGGTCAGCATCGAAGTCTGTTGTGTATAGAGCTGCATTGCGACAGACCGGTCAGGGTCAGCATCGAAGTTTGTTGTGTATAGAGCTGCATTGCGGAAGACCGGTCAGGGTCAGCTTTGAAGTTTGTTGTGTATAGAGCTGCATTGCGGCAGACCGATTGGGGTCAGCATCCGGGGCGGACTGACAACTAAACAAGATGAATTTTGTTATGTCTGTGGCAGGGGTGTCCTGACAACTCATGGGGCCCCCGGGCAATAGGGATCATGGGGCCCCTGTGTCCTTGCCCAAACTCAAAAAAGCCTATGAAAAAGGTACCAGGGGCATCTCATGGGGCCCCCTACTGGCCCTGGGGCAGTGCCCGAGTTTACAAATGGTCAGTCCGCCCCTGGTCAGCATCGAAGTTTGTTGTGTATAGAGCTGCATCGCGGCAGACCGGTCAGGGTCAGCATCGAAATCTGTTGTATATAGAGCTGCATTGTGGCAGACCGGTCAGGGTGTCCAAAGCCAAAAGTTCCTTTGTGAAAAAAAAAAGTTTAATATGGGTACAGTGTAGCATGACCGCGCAGTTGTCATTCAAAGTGCAACAGCGCTGTAAGCTGAAAATAGGTCTGAGCGGGAAGGGGGTAAGAGTGCCCGGAGGCAAGGGGTTAAAGTCTATTAAGAATTTCAAAAACAATGTGACAACTCTTATACTAAACTGCAAGGTTAACCAGCTTGCCAGACAGACTAGTCACATGACACTCTCAGAGACAACCAATTACTACTCCTCCCACCCTCTCCGTTTCCAACAAAAATATAAAAGTGCGAAAACTTTTTAAGAACCCTTGTGTTTTTTTTTTTTAAGTAAGCAGTCTAGGTTTCTCATTTGACTCAGTATCAGCCTCTTGCACTCCCTGTACAGCAAAGCTCAGACTGGAGGAAGGAAAAGCAGTGCAAACAGCCAGTCAGTTGTGCTGCAGTGATCATGTGCCAATAAAGGACACGTTGATAGTAGGAGAGAGCAGAGTGACAGTGAAATTAGCTCCTCATTTTACGGTTTCTTGTTTTACTGTCCAGGCGCAGGCTGGGGGGAGGGAATAGACCTATAAAGCCCCGTTCACACTTCAGTTCGATATACAATTTGAGGCTTCATTAGTTCAATGCTTGAGACTCTTTCCAATATATTAAGTGGTGCCCATTCCCAGTGTAGTGTCGCTTGTCGCTTGTTGGACATGTTGGCCCCAATAGACTTTGATGGTAGCGTGTTAAGTTTTACTTATAGATCTTGTACACTTTTGCATGTCTTTGTTGTTTTAACTATAGGTATTAGTTGTATTCCCTGTGTTGTTTGATTGCCTTGTCTTGTATGTAATGATGGGTTCACATGTCGTAGCTGCAGTTTGTACTGTCATGGCCGATCAGTTCCTCTATGTCCATGTATTCATCCACCTAGCTTGTCCCTAGGGGCAGACAACTTCTTGTTCCGGGTAACAATCCATGCCTCATCACTTCCTCTGTGTTGCATGTGTTGTGGGACTGATGTGATGAAATACATCTCTTCCCTTCATTGCTCTGCCTGCTTGTGTCTGTGTCAGATCAAATTACTGCCTAGCTATCACCTGTAAAGCACTGGACTGAGCCCTGGTTCACACTGATGAGGTTCGGAATTTGCACCCCGTTCATGCAAACCGCTGCAGGTGTGTATGTTAAGTTAACAACACCCCGAAAGCGTTCCACAAAATGTGGTGCGATGTGCAGAATTGGATAGCATTGGTGTGAATACCCATGCGATCCGATTCTAGTGCGGTCCAAAAAAAGGGTCCTGCACCTTTTTGGTGCAGGTGCGGTGCGATTGGAGCCATACAATGCAATTATTTTAGTAAATATAAATTGCTAAATACCTTTTCTCATCAGCAGTTATAACAGTCTTGTGGCTTCTATCAGTGTCCAGCAGAGCACTGGTTAAAGCTTGTAGGAGGAGTTTTCATTCTCCTCTGACTGTCCTATGAGGCTGCATGACCCCTGACCCTCTGTCTGGACAGCGCTGATTGGCCCTGTGCTAATCACATGCACCCTCCCAAAGAAAGAAACTAGCAATACACACCATACTTGGCATGTGCAGAGTGACTCCCAGAGTCAGCAGATGGATTGGAGACAGTAGAAGAGTAGAATGACACAGTGAAATTACATGATCACTCTTGTGCAGGTTAAAAACACAAGGAGCAGGTAGGAAGGTTTACAATACCTTTAAAGTGTTACTAAACCCCGGACCCTGCATTCACTATATCTGGTCTCCGAGGACCCCACATTCACTATATCTGGTCTCCCAGGACCCTGCATTCACTATATCTGGTCTCCCAGGACCCCACACTATATCCGGTCTCCCCAGACCCTGCATTCACTATATCTGGTCTCCGAGGACCCCACATTCACTATATCTGGTCTCCCAGGACCCTGCATTCACTATATCTGGTCTCCCAGGACCCTGCATTCACTATATCCGGTCTCCCCAGACCCTGCATTCACTATATCTGGTCTCCCCAGACCCTGCATTCACTATATCTGGTCTCCGAGGACCCCGCATTCACTATATCTGGTCACCCAGGACCCTGCATTCACTATATCTGGTCTCCCAGGACCCTGCATTCACTATATCCGGTCTCCCAGGACCCTGCATTCACTATATCTGGTCTCCCAGGACCCTGCATTTACTATATCTGGTCTCCCAGGACCCTGCATTCACTATATCTGGTCTCCCAGGACCCTGCATTCACTATATCTGGTCTCCCAGGACCCTGCATTCACTATATCTGGTCTCCCAGGACCCTGCATTCACTATATCTGGTCTCCCAGGACCCTGCATTCACTATATCTGGTCTCCCAGGACCCCGCATTTACTATATCTGGTGGACCCCGCATCTCCCCCAGAACCCTGCATTCACTATATCTGGTCTCCCAGGACCCTGCATTTACTATATCTGATCTCCCAGGACCCTTTCACTATATCTGGTCTCCCAGGACCCTGCATTCACTATATCTGGTCTCCCAGGACCCTGCATTCACTATATCTGGTCTCCCACAGTACACACAACATGGAAATATTTATTTTTGGTAAATGTAAACTACTAAATACCTTTTCTCATCAGCAGTATATAGCAGTTTTGTGACTTCTATCAGTGTCCAGCCAAGCACTGGTTAAAGCTTGTAGAAGTTTGCTTTCTGCTCTAGGAGGATGCAGAACCCCTGACCTCTATTTGGGCAGTGCTGATTGGCTCTGTGATAATCACATGTACTCTCCCAAGAAAAAAAAACCTCTCTAGTTCTACACAACAAACTGAGCATGTGCAGAGTGACTCCACATGATATGTCTTATCAGGAGTTAAGAGGTGGACACTGGAAGAAGGGGAGAATCATAGAAGACAGGATTAAACAGTGTTTTTACACAATGCGGAGGATTAACCCCTTAGGTTCCACAGTGAGTATAACAAGCATGCTTTACTGCATATATAGACTAAATTTACTGTTGTGGGTTTAGTAACACTTTATTATTATACAGGATTTATATTATTATTATATTATTATTATTATACAGGATTTATATTATTATTATTATTATTATATTTATATTATTATTATTATACAGGATTTATATTATTATTATTATTATTATTATTATTATTATTATTTATTATTATTACACAGGATTTATATTATTATTATTATTATACAGGATTTATATTATTATTATTATACAGGATTTATATTATTTATTATTATAATACAGGATTTATATAGCGCCAACAGTTTGCTCAGCACTTTACAATATAACGGGAGACAATACAGTAACAATACAGTTCAATACAAGAGGGATAGGAGGGCCCTGGTCCTGGGAGCTTACAATCTAGGAAACTTTAAACTCAACGCTTTCCACATTGATTGATGGCTTACTCGGTACCACATTCTACAGGCTCGCATTATTTAGCATTTGACATGCATTTGAAGCGCAGGTCATCAAAATCCTATTGACTTTAGCTCAGCAGTAGACATGACGGTTCGTCGGGTGAGATCGGCTCGCATTGTATTTCTCTGGATGCAGCATGTCCTATTGAAGTTCATTTGAACTGCAGTCAAAGCAAATCAATGGCAGCCCTATCTTGCAAAGCTCTGTGTTTACCATTTGAGCGCATACATTTGCGTTTGAATAGAAAGCGTAATGTTTGAAAAAAAAAAAAAAAAATGCCCGCTGGCACGAGCCCTACTACAGCCATTAATGAACGGCAGACAGTTACACACCATGGACTGATCCCACTTCCTATTCTTGTTTCTTCCCGCGTTCCTCTGAGTTCTGACACCTCACTAAATGTGAGCGCTCTCCGTGCCTGCACCTTCACCGTGATTGGCAGCCTTGTTCTGGAAGCAGGCATGTTTATGTGTGTCTGTCATCTGTACATGAGAGATCGCAGTCAGGCATGTTTATGCAGGAGTACTGAGAGCCTGCTCATTGAACCGTGACGGAGAAGCCCTGGCTTTTTAGAAAGGTTACTCTGTGTGGTTTTAAAGGTTATTCTTTAAGGATTTTGTATTTTTTGTTTGTATATAACGTCTGTATTTGACCGCAGGCACGATGCCGCAGGCAGCCCAAGAGAACAGAGATCAGTTTTTAAAAAATCATGCAACATATGCTAAACTTAACCCTCGTTCAGACTGCATGTGGATTAGAAATCATGATGTGAAAGTTGCATGTAAATGTGACTTCGGGTGCGACCTGCAGACATCAGTGCAACTTCAAGTACAGATGTCTATGAAAGTTGCACCTGAAATCGATAAAAGTTGTGCAGGAACTGCTGTTCAAATCGGTGTGACTTTGATTAGAATGGTTCCTTTGACAATCACTGGATGCATTTGAATGGTCAAGTCACAGCAATGTGAACCATTTACAGTTACCATAAATAAGAGGCATGGATTGGGGAACTGGAGGAAGTGCAGAGAAGGGCAACCAAACTGATAAGAGGCATGGAGGAGATCAGCTATGAGGAGATTAGAGGAACTGAATTTATTCTCTCTTGAGAAGAGGAGATTAAGGGGGATATGATCACCATGTATAATACATAAGGGGGGATATGATCAACATGTATAATACATAAGGGGGATATGATCTCCATGTATAATACATAAGGGGGGATATGATCTCCATGTATAATACATAAGGGGGGGTATGATCACCATGTATAATACATAAGGGGGGATATGATCTCCATGTATAATACATAAGGGGGGGTATGATCACCATGTATAATACATAAGGGGGGATATGATCTCCATGTATAATACATAAGGGGGAGATATGATCTCCATGTATAATACATAAGGGGGGATATGATCTCCATGTATAATACATAAGGGGGGATATGATCTCCATGTATAATACATAAGGGGGGATATGATCTCCATGTATAATACATAAGGGGGGATATGATCTCCATGTATAATACATAAGGGCGGATATGATCTCCATGTATAATACATAAGGGGGGATATGATCTCCATGTATAATACATAAGGGGGGATATGATCTCCATGTATAATACATAAGGGGGGATATGATCACCATGTATAATACATAAGGGGGGATATGATCTCCATGTATAATACATAAGGGGGGGATATGATCTCCATGTATAATACATAAGGGGGGATACGATCACCATGTATAATACATAAGGGGGGATACTATCACCATGTATAATACATAAGGGGGATATGATCACCATGTATAATGCATAAGGGGGGATATGATCACCATGTATAATGCATAAGGGGGGATGTGATCTCCATGTATAATGCACAAGGGGGGATGTGATCTCCATGTATAATGCACAAGGGGGGATGTGATCTCCATGTATAATGCACAAGGGGGGATGTGATCTCCATGTATAATGCACAAGGGGGGATGTGATCTCCATGTATAATGCACAAGGGGGGATGTGATCTCCATGTATAATGCACAAGGGGGGATGTGATCTCCATGTATAATGCACAAGGGGGGATGTGATCTCCATGTATAATGCACAAGGGGGGGGGGATGTGATCTCCATGTATAATGCACAAGGGGGGGGGATGTGATCTCCATGTATAATGCACAAGGGGGGGGGGGGGGGTATGTGATCTCCATGTATAATGCACAAGGGGGGGGGATGGGGGAATGATCTCCATGTATAATGCACAAGGGGGGGGGATGTGATCTCCATGTATAATGCACAAGGGGGGGGGATGTGATCTCCATGTATAATGCACAAGGGGGGGGGGATGTGATCTCCATGTATAATGCACAAGGGGGGGGGATGTGATCTCCATGTATAATGCACAAGGGGGGGGATGTGATCTCCATGTATAATGCACAAGGGGGGGGATGTGATCTCCATGTATAATGCACAAGGGGGGGGATGTGATCTCCATGTATAATGCACAAGGGGGGGGATGTGATCTCCATGTATAATGCACAAGGGGGGGGATGTGATCTCCCTGTAGAATGCACAAGGGGGGGGATGGGATGTGATCTCCCTGTAGAATGCACAAGGGGGGGGATGTGATCTCCCTGTAGAATGCACAAGGGGGGGGATGTGATCTCCCTGTAGAATGCACAAGGGGGGGGATGTGATCTCCCTGTAGAATGCACAAGGGGGGGATGTGATCTCCCTGTAGAATGCACAAGGGGGGATGTGATCTCCCTGTAGAATGCACAAGGGGGGATGTGATCTCCCTGTAGAATGCACAAGGGGGGATGTGATCTCCCTGTAGAATACACAAGGGGGGATGTGATCTCCATGTATGATGCATAAGGGGGGATGTGATCTCCATGTATGATGCATAAGGGGGGATGTGATCTCCATGTATAAATACATCAGTGGTTCATATAGTGAACTCGGTGTAGAGTTATTCACACTGAGGTCATCACAGAGGACAAGGGGGCACTCTTTACGTCTGGAGGAAAAGAAATTTAATCTCCAAACACGGAAAGGTTTCTTCACAGTGAGAGCTGTGAAAATGTGGAATAGACTCCCTCAAGAGTTGGTTCTGGCCAGCTCAGTGGATTGCTTCAAAAAAGTCCTGGGTTCTTTCTTAGATACACAGAATATAACTGGATATATCATTTATAGGTAAAGTTGATCCAGGGAATATCCGATTGCCTCTCGGGGGATCACAAAAGTTTTTTTTTCCCTGCAGGAGAAAATTGGATCATGCTTTGCTGTGGTTTTTTTTTTTTTTTTCCTTCCTGTGCATTAACTGTGGATTTAGGATTATAACTTTTTTTTTAAATTAATGGTTGAACTGGATGGACTTTAGTCTTTTTTGCAGCCAGACTAATTATGTAACAATAAATATATTTTTTTTTTAATGTGAGTGTTCACATATGTGTATTTTTAAAATCGTCTCTATCATTTTCACTTAATTTTGATCCTGCCAAACACCTTTCCTCCTT